AGAGGAGTGGAATGGAATAGAATGGAGCAGGATGGAGCAGATTGGAGTAGAACAGAACAGAACAGAACAGGACAGAGGAGTGGAATGGAATAGAATGGAGCAGGATGGAGCAGATTGGAGTAGAACAGAACAGGACAGGACAGGACAGAGGAGTGGAATGGAATTGAATGGAGCAGGACGGAGCAGAATGGAGTGGAACAGAACAAAACAGAACAGAACAGGACAGAGGAGTAGAACGGAATAGAATGGAGCAGGACGGAGCAGAATGGAGTAGAACAGAACAAAACAGAACAGAACAGGACAGAGGAGTGGAATGGAATAGAATGGAGCAGGATGGAGCAGATTGGAGTAGAACAGAACAGGACAGGACAGGACAGAGGAGTGGAATGGAATTGAATGGAGCAGGACGGAGCAGAATGGAGTGGAACAGAACAAAACAGAACAGAACAGGACAGAGGCGTGGAATGGAATAGAATGGAGCAGGACGGAGCAGATTGGAGTGGAACAGAACAGAACAGAGAATTGGATTGGACTAGACTAGAACTACAACAGAGGAGTGGAGTGGAGTAGAATATAGCCGAATGGAATGGAATGCACTTGTTCCCTAGACGTGCCTTTTAAAAAAAGTTCAACACAAAAAGAAAGCTGCGAGAGTTTTTAAAGCTCCATTGGGGAAACAAGCATATTGATAAAAAAGTTGGAGACTTACCAGCAAAAAGCATCTTTCCCGTAAGCATCTCTGCCAGGATGCAGCCAGCTGCCCACATGTCAATAGCTTTGGTGTAGTTGTTGGGCGAAAGGAGCAAGCGGGGAGATCGATACCATTTGGTCACCAGGCCTTCGGACAGGTAACCCTGAAAGAGGGAGGCAAATCCCCACATCAAGATGATGCACAGGTATTGAGCTGTTCTGTGAGAATGCACAGGATGAAATTGGCAAGCTACATAGGTAAGAGAGAGGGAGGCAATGGACATGATAAAGAGAGAGAACCTATCTATCTATAAATCTGTAGAGATTCTCAGTCATCCAGGTCATGGCTCTACAGACATCCAGGTCATGGTCCTATGGACCATGTACGGAACAAATGTAATTTCTAATGTTGGATTTTCCCCCTTACAAGATGGAGGCTCTTTGTGGAGTACTGTGAAGCCGTTACTATGGCAACTCCACTGTGCTGTACAGTAGAAGCCATTTTGCGGCAGTACAGTAGAAGCCATTTAAGGCACAACAGGCTTTATCTTAAGAGAACGCACACCCTAAGGGGCATTAGGAGTGTCTTACGCCCACAGTATTTGTTTCCAGAGAGTAAGTCATCTGTGTACCAAGTTTGGTTGAAATTGGCCAAGGCGTTCCAGAGTTATGCTGGAACACACACACACACACACAAAACCATATATATATATATATATATATATATATATATATATATATATATATAT